TTAGGCCAATTAATAACCCTATAGTGGCCTGTAAGTATTTAAGTAAATAATCTGAAAATTATTAGGCACAAATGCATTTATGACTGCTATGTCTACCTGAAAAATTGCCACTTTATCAGTAGAAAATGCCCTCTTAAAATCTCCGATTAATACCTTTTTATCTTGAAATCTACTTTATCTGATATTACTGTAGCTACTGCAGCTTTCTTATGCTTACTGTTAGCATGCTACAGGTTGAGTATCCCTTATCTGAAATGCATGGGACCAGACGTATTTCAGATTTGTTTTTTATTTTGGAATAGCTGCATTATATACTTACTGGTTGAGCATCCCAACTCTGAAAATCCAAAACGCTCCAGTGAGCATTTCTTTAAGCATCACATTAGTCTTAAGAACTTTCAGATTTTGGAGCATTTAGGCTTTGAATTTTCAGATTTAGGATGCAACCTATATATCTTTTTTTGTTGTTGTTTGAGACAGAGTCTTGTTCTGTCACTCAGGCTGGAGCGCAGTGGTGCGATCTTGGCTCACTGCAACCTCCACCTTCCGGGTTCAAGCAATTCTCCTGCCTCTGCCTCCCAAGTGGCTGGGATTACGGCGTGCACCACCACACCTGGCTAATTTTTGTATTTTTAGTAGAGACAGGGTTTCACCCTGTTGGTCAGTCCGGACGTGAACTCCTTACCTCATGATCTGCCCACCTAGGCCTCCCGAAGTGTTCTTTTTATTTGTAACCAATCTGTGTCTTCATATTTAAAATGTATCTCTTATAGACAGCATGCAGGTAGGCCTGATATCGATCCCTGGCTTCTAATTTGAAGATTTATTCCATTTACATTTAAGGTGCTCTGAATTTGGCCATTCTATCAGATGTATAGTGGCATCTCAGTGTTATTTAATTTGCATTGCCCTGATGACATGATGTAGAGCATCCTGTCACATGCATATCTGTCATCTGTATATTTTCTTTGGTGAGGTATCTGTTAAGGTCTTTGGCCCACTTCTTAATCAGGCTGCTCCCTTTTTGAGACAGGGTCTTGCTCTGTCATCCAAGCTAGAGTGCAGTGGCATGATAATGGCTCACTGCAGCCTTGACCTCCCAGGCTCAAGCAATCCTCCCACCTCAGCCTCCTGAATATTTGGGACTACATGCACGAGCCATCATGCTTGGCTAGTTAAAAAAAAAAATTTTTTTTTATGGAGAGTGGTCTTTTTTTACTATGTTGCTCAAGCTGGTCTTGAACTTCTGGGCTCAAGGGATCCTTCCACTTTGGCCTACCAAAGTATTGGGATTATAGATGTGAGCCACCACACCTGGCCTAAAACTGCTCCTTTTCTTATTGTTGGGTTTTAAGAGTTCTTTGTATATTTTGAGTAAAATATAAAAAGTCCTTCATCAGATATGTCTTTCCCAAGTATTTTCTCTCAGGCTGTGGCTTGTTTTCTCATTCTCTTGACAAGTTATTTTTTAAGTGGTTGCTCTAGGAAATACAATGTTCAAGCTTAACTTCCCAGCCTAGGGTTAATACTATGTGATGGGGGCCCTCAAGGATGGTGCCCAATAATCCCAGCCTCTTGGTATTCATGCTCTTATGGAGACCCCTCTCATACTATATCAGGGTTGGTCTATAATGACCAACAGAATAGGGCAGAAGTCATATTCCAACATTATGAAAGATATTGAGGCTTTCGATTTGGTCATTCTCAGATCATTCACTTTAGGGAAAGGAAGCTATTATGTTGTGAGCAACCCTATGTGAGCCTCCTGTCCTCAGCTACATCAATGAGCTTAGCAACGAATTCTCTAGTCCCGTTCAAGCCTCCAGAAGACTGCAGCCCCAGCTGACAGCTTGACTGCAACCTCATGAATGTTTCTGAGCTAGGACTACTCCGTTGCTCCTGAATTCCTCATCCTCAGAAACTACGTGATACAATAAATGCTGATTATTTTAAGCTACTAAGTTTTAGAGTAATTTGTTATACAGCCATAGACATGTATCAGTTAACATAAAACAGAAGAATCTCACAAACAAAATAGTTCCATTTACCCTGACCTTTTTGCGATGGTTGTCATATATATTATACCTAATACATTATAAACCTCACGAGACAGTATTGTAATTTTTGCTTTGAGAAGCCATGTATAGTTTTTTAAAATTGGGTTGAGGGAGATAGTTCTTTGTATTTACCCACATAATTACCATTTCTGCTGCTCTTCGCTCCTTGAATATTTATGTTTCTATCTGGTACCATTTCCCTGAGCCTGAGGAATTTCCTTCAGCATTTCTCTAATGCCAATTTTCTGGTGAAGAATTCTTTTAGCTCTCATTTATCTGAAAACGTCTTAATTTCATCTTCATTTTATGGATATTTTTCACTGGGTATAAAATTACACGTTGACAACTTCCTCCCCCCACCACTTTGAAGACGTTCCACCATCTCTGGCTCCCTCAGTTTTTAATGGAAATTCAGCAATAATTTATGTCCTTGTTCTCCTATTTGTAATGTGTACTTTATCTTTGGATGATTTCAAAATTTCCTTTTTCTCCGTTTTTCTGCAGTTTGGCTATAATGTGCCTATGTGTGATTTTCTTTTTCTTTTTTTAAATTATACTTTAAGTTCTGGGGTACATGTGCAGATTATGTGTGATTTTCTTTGTATTTAAACTGCTTGGGGTTTGCTGACATTTCTGAATCTAGGGAAATCTTTAGCCATCATTTCTTCTAATGTTTTTCTGTTCCCTTCTTTCTCCTCTCGTACTGGCATTCCAGTTGCACATACATGGGATCTCTGTACATAATTTTGCAGGCCATCAAGATGCTGCTTACTTTTTCCCAATCTTTTTTGTTTTCAGATTGGATAACTTCTATTGATCTTCAAGTTAACCGACAAGCTCTTCTGTCAGCAACAATCTGGTATTAAGCTCATCCACTGACTTTGAATTTTCAGATATTGTATTTTTCCATTCCAGAATTTTCTGTGTGTATAGTTTCTATTTCTCTGCTGAGATTTCTTATCTTTTCATTAATTACAAACATATTTTGCTCTCTGCCCTTGAGGATAGAAATAAGCTGCTTTAAAGTCCCTGTCTGCTAACTCTAACACCTGAGTTATCTTGGGGTTGGTATCCATTGATTGCCTTTCGAGTTATGAGTCACATTTTTCCTGTTTGTTTTTTTCACGTCTAATAGCTTAGAATTGAATTCTAGATGTGATAAATGATATATATACTGAGAGATTCTAAATTCTGTTTCATTCCTCTAAAGGGTACTGATTTTTCATTTTAGCAGGCAATTAATTTGTCTAAAACCAAAATACCAAATTCTGTCTCCCTTGCACTGGGCAACAGCTGAAGTCTCCATTCAGTTATTTTAGCATTAGTCGAGGTGCTTAGAGTCTGTGCATGCATAGTCAGCCAGAGATTTCAGTAGGGTTTATATACAGAATCAGGGTGTTTTCTCTGCGGTTCTCTCTTTTCTGGGATATCCTCCTTCATTTTTCAGCTGCTAGTCACCCTGATCTCAGTTCTCTCCTCAAACAACAAGACAGCAAGTTCCTATCTAAGCTTGAGTTACCCCACATCATAGTAACTGCAGTTGGCCCACAAGTGAAAAGCTAATTCCTTCAAATTACCACTCTTCACTTTTTGGTGCTATAGTAGAAATAGAACTAAACCTGGGAATTTGAAGGACAGATTTTTAAATCCTACCCAGGCCACTTTCTAGCTATGGATAAGTCAGTTCTCAGTGACTACTTCCTCATCTTATTTATCTGAGACAGGGTCTCACTCTGTCACCCAGGCTGGAGTGCACTGTTGTGATCTTGGCTCACTACAACCTCTGCCTCCCAAGCTCAAGTGATACTCCCACCTCAGCTTCCCAAGTAGATGGGACTAAAAGGTGCATGCCACTACACCCAGCTGGTTTTTCTATTTTTGGTAGATATGGTGTTTTGCCATATTGCTCAGGCCAGTCTTAAACTCCTAAGCTCAAGCAATCCACCTGCCTCAGCCTCCCAAAGTGCTGGGACTACAGGTGTGAGTCATTGTGCCTGGCCTATCTTATTTAATTTTTTTCTTTTTGTTTTCACCTATTTGTCCCAGAGCACTTTCTCATCTTAAAATGAGGATAAGAATATGTCTTCATGAAGTTAAGAGGATCAAATGAAGCTGAGCATGGTGGTTGATGCCTGTAATCCCAGTGCTTTGGGAGGCTGAGGCAGGAGGATTGCTTGAGCCCAGGAGTTTGAGACCAGCCTGGGCAACACAGTGAGACTCTGTCTCTATTTTTCCTTTTTAAAAAGGATCAAATGGATAATATATGAGATAAGGAAACTGAGGCTAAAGGGGCTAGGATGTCCCATCTATTAAGTGACAGGAGTTGGATTGTTCACCCCAGGTCTGTCCATACTTTTTCTGTTATGCCCTATGGCTTCCACATTTTTGATAGCCACCCTCTCCATCTTCCCTTTCCAAAGACAACTCCATGTACCCACTATGATCCAATTACCAAGTTGGGCACTAAAGGGACAGTAAGTCAAAGTCCCTGCCCTCAAGGAATTCCAACTATCATTCCCTCCTTCTAAGTGCTGACTGTCCTTTAGCTTACACCTGCTTTTGGTTACTTTCCAGTACCTTCAGGTAGTAGTTTTTTAAAATATTTTGTTCAGTTTGTAATTGTTATCTGTATGAGAGGCTGGCCTGATACAACCTCTTCTGCCATTACCAGGTGCAGAACGGCTATCCATGGATTTCTGATTTTGCTATACAGCTGCTCTGTTATTATGTCATGACATGTGGAGAGATTTACAAACTATGCTATTGCTGTCCCCATCCTCCCATAATAATTTGCTATTTAATAATAAACACAATACTGCCTAGAATGTTTCTATTACTTAGACTCTTTGTCCCCACTACTTCTACTCCTAAAGGACAACTATACTTGGTGAGAAGTTAATTGCCAGGGAGTAAAAGTACTATTTCCCTCCTATCCAGTCATACCTGGTGTTTCTTTGGCTATTCCTTGATCTGGTAATGCTCCATATTTCCGATGTTGCTCATACCAGTCACTCACCGTCATAGTTGCCAGACTTGGATAACCAGCTCCAAATACTCTGCAAAAATTACACTCCATTTAGAAAATGAACAAAACAAACAAAAAAACAAACCAAAAAACCCAACAACACTACTAAAAAGTCTCTTCTCTTTAACAACAAAATCTGTGTCCTTTTCAGCCTTGTTCCCTATCTAGTCAACTTCTAAGGAGTTGTACAAACTCATGGGAGGATATGTTTAAAAAAAGGGATCCAGAAAGGGGCATTAAGGTCAAGAGCCTTCATGAGAAGATGAATAGCCCAGGATCATCTCCCATTAAGCAATCCCAGAGGCCAATGCCCCACAGAGCAGTGAAGACACTGTGGAATGGGTTGGGTGATTGACTCTGAAAGGTTCAGAAAAGAAAGAGACTCTCCTGCCACCCTAGGGAAAAGCATCTCAAGAACTCAGAATTAAATCAGAGAGAGGCAAATATGTCCTTTTGAGAATCGTAGCTGAAGGCAGGAAGAGTGCCAATAATGTTAAAAAAAAAAAAAAAAAAATTTAAAGTATACAATTCTCCATTCAATTATTTTCTTTTTTCTGTTTTATTTGCTTGTTTACATGTGTGCCTTTTTTCTTCTTGAGATGGAATCTTGCTCTGTCACCCAGGCTAGTGCAGTGGGGTGATCTCAGCTCACTGCAACTTCTACCTCCTGGGTTCAAGTGATTCTCTTGCCTCAGCCTCCTGAGTAGCCAGGATTACAGGCACCTGCCACCACACCCAGCTCATTTTTGTATTTTTAGTAGAGATTGGGTTTTGTCAAGTTGGCCTCAGGTGATCCTGGCCTCAGGTGATCTGCCCGCCTTGGCCTTCCAAAGTGTTGGGATTACAGGTGTGAGCCACACCATACCTGGCCCATATGTGTCTTTGTTTTCTTTTTCTTTTTTTTTTTTTCACGAAGTACTAGAGCTGAAGGTCTATATGAATGTGTGTCTATTTTTAAGCTCAAGTTTGTGAAGAAAGTATCTGAGGAAGAGAGACATGGAGAAAGTTTCAGGAGAGATAATATCCCTTTGATGAAAGAACAACTTCCACAGGTGAGATCATGACTTTTCAACACCACCCAGTCTGTGGGTTACTCATGAATTGCCACCCTGACCCATAAAAGCAGAGGGTTGCAAAGCAAACCACTTTCTAGTACTACTTACTTGGCTTGGGCCGTGTTCCGAGTGAGAATGAAGGGTTTCATTGGAGGCCTCTCCAGGCGAGATGCGTTAGAAGTTGATGCCTAACAGGGAAATTAATTATCAGGTGAATTTGCCATTTTACCCAACCTACCATGCGGGCTCTTAAGTCTTCAGGTGCTTGAAAAGTCCTGGATTCAAAATTCACTCACTTTCTATTTATCAGTTTCTAAGATATAGCAGCAGAACACTAATGGTGAAGGTTCCTTAGCTTTGAGGGGGCCTGAGTACCTTGCAAAAAAGAGAGAAAGAGAAAGTTCTCCCAGGAATCATGTCACTAGAAGAAAAAAAAAATTACTTGGCTTTAAAATACTCCATCCAAAGAAGGAGATTCCAAAGCCCTCTTCCATGTTCCACCTAAATCCCTTGAGCTGAACTTGAAGCCCCCTTCCTCAGCCTGGCCTTCAGTTAAAAAGCTGAATCACTACCACCCTTCTTCTAAAACCTCTTCCAATGTAATTATGCACTTAATTGTCAATAACTTCTACGGTGCTTTAGAAGTCAGTGTTCCTAAATGGAAGGGACAAGGACGGGTTAGTAGTTTCCATATAGAGGTATACAGAAAAGTTGCAAGGAACCTTGGCTTTCCAGGGGCGTGGTGAAACAAAGGATGGTTAAAGAAAAGGTGCTCACTTAGCTCTAGCTTGATCACTTTCAGAGCCAATTCCAGTAACACAAGAACAATTTAAAACAACACAACAATGACACCAAACAAACAAAAACCCAAAAAACCCACAAAACCCACACACAAAGAAAGGGACAGGGCAGGACCCAGAAAAGTCCAGCCTCAAAATGCTTGAGAAGCACCAATCGAGATGTGCTCCAGAGGCCTTATGACCTTAGAATACTAATTGTTCATTCTTTTATCTCTTAAGATGAAGAACTAGGTTGATGTTATCCTGAGGCAAGAGCTCCTGGGCTAATTAGTACAAATCAAATTACTAAGAGGTTTCTCTGAGGACTTAAATGTCTGTGACTTGCTGATAAATTCAACCCAATTCATGTTGTGTCCTGAACCAAAGAACAAGTGGCGGCTGAGCCTATTCTTTAGAAGCCGCAGCTCCAAAACAGGGTTATGATGTTCAAAGAAAGCCAAAGCTGTTATACCAGGTTTCTTTACGGGTTTACTGGACACTCTGTGCATGGAAATGCCCTTGCTGTGTCTCCTACTTGGGTAAGCTAAAGGTGTGAGAGTGCATCATTGTGGCAAGGTTAAATTCCAATTCCTCCCCCAAACTAAGCATATCCCCTTGGTCTTTTGTTTCACATTCTTCCTACTCTTTTCTCCCTCTCCTCCAGTTCTACCTTTCTTCTCCCTTCCCATTCTCTTCCTCTCTTCCCCTTTATTATAGTCAGCACAATTTTTTTTTTTTAAGATGGAGTCCCGTTCTGTTGCCAAGGCTGGAGTGCAGTGGCGCAATCTCAGCTCACCACAACCTCTGCCTCCCAAGTTCAAGTGATTCTCCTGCCTCGGCCTCCAGTAGTTGGGATTACAGATGCGCATTACCACACCCGGCTAATTTTTATATTTTTACTAGAGGAGGGTTTTCCCATGTTGGCCAGGCTGGTCTCAAACTCCGTGCCTCAAGTGATCCACCTGCCTTGGCCTCCCAAAGTGTTGGGATTACAGGCATGAGCCACCACAGCTGCCAGTCAGCACAGATTTTAAAGGTTAACTCCCTATGCCTTCCTTCAGCAGCCATCACTTTCCACAACCAACCAGTTTTCATTTCAGAGACATTTCTGTTCCCCATGGTGTACTAGAAAATTACAAATGACTACAAGTGTGTTACAGATTAAAAAGCATGGGGAACACATTAAACTAAAGAGAAAGCTACCCTAGTGACCCTTCGGCCGTTCTATACTCATCTTGATAAAAACAGTGATTTCATGGAGACTTAAAAGGATCTTAAGGCCAGGCGTGGTGGCTCAAGCCTGTAATCCCCGCACTTTGGGAGGCCGAGGCGGGTGGATCACGAGGTCAAGAGATCGAGACCATCCTGGTCAAAATGGTGAAACCCCGTCTCTACTAAAAATACAA